TGTATATCTTTAAGTTAAAATTAGACAACTCTTTATAGAAAACTCGGATTTGACTTTCGTTTGTTCCATTAGAAACTAGATTCAACATGCTTTCCAATGATATATAATAATCACACCAATAATCTATCCATTAATACAAAATTTTATTTTAATTCATTATTACAGATCACGACATCTCATCCAAAAATAGAATTTCTCCTTCAATCTTTAAAAACTCAAATCCTTACTTTCAGCCTTCAAACTCTATTCAATAATCATTAATAACTCTTAAGAACATGAAATAAACAAAGCCCAATAATTTACCCATATAGATCATCAAGATTAATGAAGGATTTCATGATTTTTCTTGATTTTTCTCTCAAAACTTCAACTCCAAATAATAGCAATCAACTTGATATTTCTTTCAACTAAAAAGAGGGCATGTACTCACCTTTAAGGGATTAACTTGATTGTAGCCTCTGATTGTGAATCTCCAACTTGATTTTTCATATTCTCTAACCCTAAGGAAGATGAGGAAGAAGAACTTTATTTCCTTTCTGTTTCACGATAGTTAGGTTTTCTTTAATCTAATACTTTAGCCTTTTTTCTTTTACTAAATAATGTCTTAATAAACTGATGGGCTTTAGTATTAGTCTAGCCCAATTATTATTTGGGCTGGGGTATTACATTCTCCCCTCCTTATAAGAAGTTTTGTCCTTGAAACTTGATTTACATCCATATCTCATTCCTCTAATTTTGCAATCATATCTCTTACCGTATGATTGTTTCATTGAACTTTGAAAAAAATAATCATCTTGCCTAAAAACTTGTTCTTTCTAATCAATCATTCGAAAAAAAAAAAAAGATTTCAATATGTTAAAACTCATATCATCTTGAATTTCTAAATACTCATATCCAATCACATAGCTTTTACTAAGATATTCTCTTAATATAGATTCATCATATACACTAAACATCAAAGGTGACAATATTCTTTATTTATTAAAGATTCATCACTTTCTTAACTAATAAAAGCATAACAATTTAAAACTTAAAATCAATTCAGGCTTCTACTGCGCACTCTGATATTTCTTTCCAATAAAATTCAAACAAATTAACTTTCATAACATCGTTTTGCAACAAGAAAAGCATGTGCCCACAAAATTCCTTGTAATATGCTTCACACCATGTGTTCATAACCATAAAAACCTTGAATAACAATATCAACAAATCATTTTGTCACCAAAAATATATCACATAGTACTTTAAATTTTCTTTTCTTTTCCACCGACAACATAAAATTTTCTATCAATTAACCACTAGAATACATATGATATCAATGCAATAGATTATATCCATAAATTTGCACCATGTAAATTCAAACATAAATCTTTAATTATCAAAGTTGTCTTCAATTACGAATATTGTTCTTTCTAATATACCAATTATCATATAACAATTGATTCTTCATAATCCCTACAAACATCATAATCTCTCAAATTCTCTTTTTACCAAATATATTGCTATCATCTTCATGTCAAGGTTAAAAACTATGCATCATAATCCATAAAAGAAATTCTTTTATAAAGTTTGAACCAATAAGAACTCCAAACACTTGAATTCACACTAAAAGTATAATTATGAACAATAGCCAAATGCATCACATTATTTCAAAAGTTCTCTCAAATTTATCTAAAATCAAATACATGTTCAACATCACCAAGTACATAAAATCATTACTTGTAAGATTTCAACCAATCTTTTGCCCTTGTAAAATTCAAACAATCATTTGCACTTGTAAGATTTCAAACAATCATTCTTAACCAAAACATATATATTTTTCTGTAAATCGATTACTCCTTTAAAACCAACTTCTTTACTAAATCATTTGGATAACCATAATTTTAATTTCTTGCTAAGTACACAACCTTATACCACAATAGGCCATATTCTCCATAAATATAAAATTCAAAGGAATCAAATAGTATACTTCAATTAAAAACTATAACCATAAATTAATCACTTTAGCCATTAAAAAAATCAGTACACCTCAAATAGGAATTTAATGATCAAACTTTAAATTAACTATATAAACATCCAACTCGCATGATCAAACCTTAAATACTTTCTTAATAAAAATGTAGAACCAAATCAAGTGAACATCCTTCTTTACGTATATAAAGCTATTTACCACAATTATAACATTTTGGACTAAATCCATCAAAATAAATTCTCCAACATTATAATCTATAAATAATTGCATCAAAATTTCAACATATCATTTCATTCCAACTCCAATATTCTATACTTTTAATTCCAACAATGTACACTCATATTCTAATCTTCATCATTGATCAATGATTCACTTAACATTTATCAAATAATTTCAAAACCTCATTAAGTCAAAAGTCTTTTCTCAAACCCATAGGATCTCCAACGACCAAATCGTTTTCTTAAATAATCTTTTAACTTATAAAATATATCTCATTATAAGTGGCGTCAAAAATCTCTTCAACTTATAAAATCGCACTATATCAGAGTAATTATACTTTCTCTTCACTACAAAATCCAAAAGCAATATATAAATATCAATAAAATAACTACACCAAGAATCCATTGAATCATTGATTCCTCAAAATTCATTAAAACTTTAACTACTCCAAAAATTTATTGAATCATTTAGTCATACTCACCACTACAATCTATGGATTAAACTATGTCTTTGGAAGATCATCACATTCTCTAGAGGTCATCATCTAAATTCTTAAAAATCTCCAAAGATCATAATCGTAATTCTTAGAAAATCTTCAAAATCATATTATAAGCTCCTTAACATCTCATAACCTGAATTCTTAGAAAATCTTCAAGAAATATAACTTAAGCTTTAAAAAAAAAAAAATCTCAACACAATCTACAAATCATAATCTACCTCTTAAAATTCTCCAAAGATCGTAACTTAAGCTCTGATACCACTTTTGTCACGTCCCGAGATTAAGACGTAACACGGCCATATTACCTTGAAGAAAATCTTAAAGTAATACGAAGCCTTCTTTCTTAAACATTCTAAAATTCTTCAATAAAAATAATCTATCAAGTAAAAATTCATATCTTTAATCCAACTGATAATACATCTTTATATATCCAAATACAAATCATATAAAATATAAAATTGCTTCTTAAAATCTTATTGGCCAACATATTCTCCGACGATTAAGTAATCTTACCCATTTCATCTTCTAGCTTCACACAAAACTAATCAAATTTATCACTTAATCATCTGTAAAGAAAAAGTAAAAGGAGAATGAGCAAACCACAGCTCAGTAAGTATAGGCTCACACACCTTATCAGATCAAGCATCATTTTCTTACACATCATATAGATCATTTAAAACATTCATCAAATCATAATATCAAAATATTTCAAGATCATCGTTTTGTCAAATATTTCATAAATTCATAAATCAATGTCAAAATATGTCACTTCATAAATCATTGCAAAATATGCTATCATTCAAATATCATAATCAAACCAAATCATGGATCAATCATTAAAAATCATCGTAAATCATCATCATCATAAATCGTCATTATCATTGGTTTATCATTAGCTACGATCACTGCTATAACCCGTGACATTGGTCGTATCGACAATTTCATTCTCATGATCATTGCTAACTATTATAACCCGTTAGCCAGGGCTTACGCTAACTACTATTACCCGTTAGCCAGGGTCGTATAATCATGTCTTTGCTAACTACTATTACCCGTTAGCCAAGGGTCGTAGAACTAGTTCTGGTGTCGATGATCCCACTTCCCAGGGATATAAAAACATAGCTATCATAAAATTATTCTTTAAACATAAATCATTTTCTCATTTCATTCATAAGCATGATCCATCGTTTATATAAAGAAACACAAAATAATCATATGCTTGATCCTATTTTCATATATCAAAAATAAAGAAATAAAACATTCTTTCATTTAGAAACATATATAAATATATACATAGATTTGAAAATAAGCAAAGTGTGTGAGATTCTACTTACCTCCATTCGATTCCACCACTTAATTTTTTCTCCAAAAAAATTAATAGCCTATCCAAGATCATTTCAACAGATCAGAATTTAATCAACCCTTTTTGAAACCATTTATACAAAAATCAACTAAGTTACACAAAGGGTTAACCTAACTAATTAATACTGACAGCCTGACCTCTTTTCATTAAAACAGTCATATCTCAATATATCCAAATTGGAATTATGATCTCTTTAATGCGTTAGAAACTAGACTTAATAAGCTTTCTAACCATATATGGCACACCTCGTAATTCCTTGTAGATTAGTTATAACAATTTTTGAAATCCTCGTCATATACTGCTGCCAAACAGACTGTATACCTTCTAATAAAAATTATATATTTATTCACAGGAAACTCCAAATTCAGTTCTGCGTATTTCATTGGAAAGTAGACTCAATAAGCTTTCCAAACATATATGGCTTAATCTGTAAATCCTTCTATACAAATTAAGAAGAATTTCGTAATTCAACCCTGATGCTGTTGTCTTACAACCTGTATATCTTTAAGTTAAAATTAGACAACTCTTTATAGAAAACTCGGATTTGACTTTCGTTTGTTTCATTAGAAACTAGATTCAACATGCTTTCCAATGATATATAATAATCACACCAATAAAATATCCATTAATACAAAATTTTATTTTAATTCATTGTTACAGATCACGACATCTCATCCAAAAATAGAATTTCTCCTTCAATCTTTAAAAACTCAAATCCTTACTTTCAGCCTTCAAACTCTATTCAATAATCATCAATAACTCTTAAGAACATGAAATAAACAAAGCCCAATAATTTACCCATATAGATCATCAAGATTAATGAAGGATTTCATGATTTTTCTTGATTTTTCTCTCAAAACTTCAACTCCAAATAATAGTAATCAACTTGATATTTCTTTCAAATAAAAAGAGGGCATGTACTCACCTTTAAGGGATTAACTTGATTGTAGCCTCTGATTGTGAATCTCCAACTTGATTTTTCATATTCTCTAACCCTAAGGAAGATGAGGAAGAAGAACTTTATTTCCTTTCTGTTTCACGATAGTTAGGTTTTCTTTAATCTAATACTTTAGCCCTTTTTCTTTTACTAAATAATGTCTTAATAAACTGATGGGCTTTAGTATTAGTCTAGCCCAATTATTATTTGGGTTGGGGTATTACAGACAGACTTAAAGTTTTTAGTCAAAACGATCAAATTAAAATTAAAATTAATAATCAAAATTAATAGATTAAGTAATTTCGTCATATAAATTAAGTATATAAAATTTAAAAAATTTTTAATAAATTTTGATATATATTTTTAGATATATATTTTTAATAAAAATATTGATAAAATTTTATTGTTGAATTAGTATTGATTAAATTTAAATTATAAGTAATATTTTTAATAATTTTTTATATATTATTTATTTTTACATTCAATTCTATAAATTTATTGATTTAAAATTTTTATTAAATCATATTTTTAAAAAAATTTTCATAAAGTTCACTTGTCCTCGAGTCATTGCCTTTCGCCTCTAGATGTTAATATAAGTGGTGACTGATACAGAAACAGTCGTAAAATATATTATTTGTGAATTAGAGAGAAAAAAAGGATGATTTTAATGCTGAAGCCATCGTCTTCTTACGCATGCTTGCTCTCCTTCTTCTTCGTTCTTTTCATTTCGTGTAGCAAATCCAACGCCCAGACCACTGACCCCTCCGAAGGTACTTTCCCTATCCCTTCATATATCTATGTCGTTTGCTAAATCCAAAACTACGCAAATTCAAGCATGTCAGTAGAAAACCGTGGAACTAGTAATCAAGAAACACCATGTCAAGTACTGAATCTGAAACTATCTAACTAATAACTTCTTTCGTATATATACTCCCTGGAACTCAAAATTAGATCAGATCTCTCAGCTGTCTTTTGGTAGTTATTCTTCAATTATTGAATCCACTGATTTAACACAAACTCTGATCTGTCTCGGCCAAGCTCTCCGACAGAAGTTACTGATAAGTTTTGGCTTTTGCTTTCGAAGGGGTGGGTTTCTTTAAAAATTTTATATAGTTTATTTCCTATCCGAAAATTCGTTTGCCTGATAACTACAAACACATACCATTGCGTACTTCTTTTAAAATATTATCCGAATATCATAATATATAAGTTTTATATCTAAACCTGATGTTATTGGTGAAGCAACAGTCATGCCATTGGTTTCATATAATAAGCTTGTCCAGATCATGGATTGAAATTTTAATTGAATATCAATCATCCATTTTTTTTCTCATCTAGACAATTTCATATCCAGGTGTGCTTTATCATTGAAGTTCATCTTGCAAGTTAAAACTGATTCAAATTCAGAAATATCTTTTTTAATCAACTTGTTGGAAGTAACCTTTCGCAAAAAATCATTGACGTTTTCAAATTAATTGATGAAATCTCTCATGCACATATTGGTTAAAGAAATATGAAAATGAAATCCTAACTAGCAATTATTTAATTAGAAAGGACCCAACCACAAATCAAGTTGTGCAAAAAGCTGACTTGATTTTAAATCACACACATATATGTAATTAAATATTCCATCGGCCAGTTAAGTCTTCATCTATGACAGCATCTTATCTGCTAATTGCCATCCATGCTTTTAACTCCTCATATTTTTTGTCAGAGTGGGTAAACATGCTGAAACGCTTGAAGCCTTGCATTGATTTTCTTTTTTATTTTGATACATCATCAAAGAATTTTGTCCATTGCCAAGAATTATCTCTTTTTCATCTTCAATGTTAATTGTTAAAAGAAAACTAGTTTTGTCATTTATTGTTTAAAAAAAAAATTGTTCATAAGTGTCTCATTTAGAAGAAAAAATTCTCACTAATTAAAAATAGAATTATATCAAAATATTATTAATATGATATCATAATCTTATCATAATAACCTAATATATAATGCTAATATAAAGTTTCATAATTATAAAAGTATTTCTAAACAATATTGTCGTATTCATATTGTACTCTCTCTATGTGAAAAGCGATCTAATTTTATATTTTACCTTTTCCGCAGCGAAGTTGTAGACTTTAGATGTGTCATTTTCATTGAGCAAATGTCAATTCTTTACTTTGAGCTTTTGTCTTTGCGAACGGTGACTTTAATCAATTGATCAGAATGTCTATATTTTTTTTTATGAAAAATTTTTCTTGTTTAAAAAATCTTTATAGTCGTATTGTGCTAAGTATAGGTTGGCAGTATCGACTAGTATTCTATAAAAAAAGAGCATCATCTTATAATAAAAACTTTTGTTAATAAATTTTTATATATTTTTTATGATTCGCAACTACACGTGAAAGAACCCATCTCTATTTTCCTACTAAGCTTATTGTTTGAATTGAATTTTTTAGAACTAAACATTGTTTTATGTAATATACCAACTTAAAGTATAATTACGCTAAATTAATATCAAAATTCATCAGTTATTAAGAGATTAATTAATTAAAAAAAAAGACTAAAGTATTAAAAGAAAAAAAAAACTTTAGCTATTGTAAAATAAAAAATAAATAGAACTTCTTCCTCCCTATTTTTCTTAGGGTTGGAAAGCATGAAAAATCAAGTATAAGATCTAAAATTAGAGGTTACAATCAAGTTAATATTCTAAAAGTAAGTATATACTTTTTTTTTTATTTAAGAAAAAATATCATGTTGATTATTCTTATTTAAAGTTGAAGTTCTAAGAGAAAAATCAAGAAAAATTAAAAATTCTTTCATTAATCTTCATGATCTATTATGATAAATTATTAGGCTTTATTTATTTCATGTTCTTAAGATTTATTAATGATTATTGAATAGAGTTTAAAAGCTGTAAGTGAGAATTTGAATTTTCAAATATTGAAAGAAAAAATCTGCTTTTAGATGAGATGTTATGATCTGCAATAGTAAATCAAAATAGAATTCTATATTAATAGATAGATTATTGCTATGATCATTATATAATGTTGAAAAGCTTGTTGAATTTACTTTCTAATGAAACAAATGAAACTCGAATCCGAGTTTTTTATGAAGAGTTGTTTAATTTTTACTTAAGGATCTATAGACTGTAAGGCAGCAGTATCATTGTTGAATTACAAAAATTGTCTTAATTTTTATAGAAGGAATTATAGATTAAGTTATATATTTTGGAAAGCTTATTGGGTCTACTTTTCAACAGAATAAGTGAAATTGAATTTAGAGTTTTCTATGAATAAATGTGTAATTTTTATTAGAAAGTATACATGTTGTCTAGCAATAGCATATGACATGGATTGCAAAAATTATTATAATTAATCTACAATGAATTACAAGGTAAGCCATATATGGTTAGAAAGCTTGTCAAGTTCAGTTTCTAACACATTGAAGAGATCTTAATTTTGATTTAGATAGATTAAGATATGGTCATTTTAATAAAAAGAGGTGAGGTTGCCAGTATTAGTTAGTGGAGTTAATTTTTATTTAACTTAATTATTTTTGGTATCATTGGTCTCAAAATGGGTTGATTAATTTCTACTATATTAAAATTATCTTGAATATATCATTAATTATTTTGGGGGAAAAATTAAGTAGTGGAATAAAAAAAAGATAAGTAAAATCTCACACACTTTGCTTATATTCGAATATATATATGTATATTTATAAATAAATGAATGTTTTATTTCATTATTTTTTATATATGAAAATAAGATCAAGCACATGATTATTTTACGTTTATCTATATAAACGATGGATTATGCTTATGAATGAAATAAGAAAATGATTTATATTTAAAAAATATTTTTATGATAACTACATTTTTATATCCCTAAAAAATAGATTCATCGACACTAGAACTAGTTCTATGGCTCTGGCTAACGAATAATAATAGTTAGCATAGACATAATCATTGAGCCTTGTTAACGAGTTATAGTAGTTAGCGTAAGGCCTTGCTAGTGAGTTATAATAATTAGCAATAATCATGAGGATAAAATTATCGATACCGTCAATATCATAAGTTATAGCAATGACCATAGCTAACGATAAGCAAATGATAATGATGATTTGTATATAAAGATGATTTGCGATGATTTTTAAAGATTGATCCATGATTTGTATAAAATATGTATTTGATTGGGATTTATGATTTGTAATTGATGAATTGACATGTTTTAATATTGATTTATAAATTTACAAAATGTTTGATAAAACGATTATCTTTGAAATATTTTGACATTATAATTTAATAAATGTTTTGAATGATCTATATGATATGTATGAAAAAAATGCTTGATCCGATAAGGTGTATGAGTCTATATTCATTGAGCTATGATTTGCTAATTCTTTTTTTACTTTTTTTTTACAGATGAGTAAATGATAAGTTTGTTTAATTTTGTAAAACCCTAAGAGATCAAATGGGAAAAATTAATTAATCGTCGGAGACAATGTTGGCTAATGAGATCTTATAAAATAATTTTGTATTTTTTATATGGTTTACATTTGGATATATAGAGATATATCATTAGTTATATTAAATATATAGATTTTACTTAGCATATTATATTTCAATTTTTTGAAGAATTTTAGAATAATTAAAAAAAAAAGAGCTTCGTATTACTTTGAGATTTATTTCAAAGTAATGTGATTGTGTTATGTTTTGATCTCGAAACGTGACAGTTTAATCATTAGCATAAGTGAATAAATCAATTGTTAACATTCTATTTTTGAAACTGCAAACCAATTATCTTTTCCTTAATTTTCCCTTTTTAATTAAGAAGCTTTTGAACAATTTGTCAGAAGGGAAAGGCAATGAGTTTAATTTACATGGCAAAATGTATCTCCGACCATTAAAAAAAAAAATAAAGAAGTTTGATCAAAGTTCAGTTTTGCTTCCAAAAGGTCTCATATTTCACTGTATGCTTTATCGCTTATAGCTAGAAAAGATAAATGCACTTTTGACCAGGTGCCTTTCACAAAATATTAATGCTATAACCCCTTTTTTTTTTTAAGAAATAAGTTTCATCTCTTCTTATTTGAAAAGACTAAGTGCAAAATGTTAGTAATTATTAATTTTGATGGAGTCATCGATTCATAGCCGTAATTAATTCCGTTGGTAATCTCCTAACATGTTTTTTTTTTTGTATTGTCTTCAACTATTTTATTAATGGGGAAACAGTGAGGGCATTGAACTCAATCTTCCAAAAATGGGATTTGCATGAAGAGAGTTTCTGGAACTTCAGTGGGGAGCCATGCAGTGGAATTGCTCTCAGTCAAAGTGATTCTGCCTTTGAGGCCAGTAATATTAACCCTGCTATCAGATGTGATTGTTCTTTCAACAATAAAACTCTCTGCCACATCACTAGAATGTATATGATTCCCCCCTCTCTCTTCTTCTTTTCCTGTTTTACTCTATAATTTCAACCCATTATTATTATAGTGACAGTTAAATTTAAATTCTCCTTTTGACATGAATCAATAGCATTTTGGGAGTTCAAATAGGCAGAGAACTGGTTGAGCTTGAAGGTTTTTGAGTTCATCTCCATGTCAATTGTACTATGAGTTTACATTTTTACGCATTTTTGTCAGGAGGGTATATGCTCTGGATAGAAAAGGAGTGATACCAGAGGAGCTTTTGGACTTGCCTTACCTGACATTCTTGTAAGAATGTTCCTTTCTTTCTCTTTTCTCCTCATGTTTCATCTGCATTAAACAACATCGATTTTTTAAGATTTTCCAAATGAACTCAGATTTTATGGAGTAATGTTTCCATACCAGAAAGGTTATGTCTTTTAGTCATGAAAAATGGTTAAATATATTCATTACAGTGAGTGAGTTTTACAGTAACCGATTATAATTATTTTTTGTTTGGTGATGCAGGAAGATTGATCAAAACTACTTCACTGGTCCCTTGCCAGCATTTATTGGAAATATGTCTAGACTAGGGTTACTGTGAGTACTGAATGATGGTCGCATAAAGCATTATTTAAGAATTTTGCTTTGTAATGGTTTTCAGGCCTTAAGAACAAGTTTCCAATAACATTATTTCTCTGAAAATTTTCAAAATCTATCTTGCTTTGTAATGGTTTTCAGGCCTTAAGAACAAGTTTCCAATAACATTATTTAAGAATTAACGACATAATAAAATGGGAGGAAAACGGGCTGCTGCTGCTTTAATGCTTCCATTTCCAAGCCTATCCAGTAGTTGGTTTGAACTATGAGATTACCTTGATTATCTTTCAACTAATGACTAGCGGAACTCATAAATTTAATCTCATTCCCTTTCATGGAAGGATGGCTTTTATAATGAAGGTGAACCGATAAATTGTTAAAGTCCACTATTTTTTGTATGATAGACAGTGACGCTTCTGACATACTGTAATAGAAAGGAAATCGTTCTTTCCTCTGATTTTTATGTATTTTTTTTATTTTTTTGGTACAATATTTTGGTTTATTTTTGAAACGTGAAGCGTTACTGATACAAGTTACTATTACAATTGCTAATTTCTTATATTCAAGAAACCACTATTCTTTGGATTATTTATTTTATTTTAATATGTGTAGGTCAATTGCACACAATGATTTCTCTGGACCCATTCCAAAGGAGCTTGGAAATCTCAAGGACCTATATATGCTGTAAGACTTGAAGAAACTCTGGATGAGTCCTTTTGTCGACATATAAAGCATCAAAGAGTTCAGTTTTTAAGCAAACATTTGTTCTTAAATGCTACCATATGCCAATGAAAGGATAAATTAGTTAATGATGTCTACTTGTCAATTAATAGAATTAGTCTAGCTTTTATTGGTAATAATAATTTCACTGGAACACTCCCTCCGGTCTATTGGTAATAATAACTTCTTTTTCAGGTCTATTGGTAATAATAATTTCTCTGGAACACTCCCTCCGGAACTTGGTAATTTAGTCAACCTTCAACAACTGTAAGCTTCTACCTTTCTTTAGTTCTTTGTAGGAATGTACGTGATTGAATTTACAGGTTTATCCTATGAAATTATAACAACGGTGGTTTATGAATTTGACAGTTATATTAACAGTTGTGGATTGGATGGCGAGATTCCCTCAACATTTGCTAACCTTGAAAACCTGCTAACTGTGTAAGAAAGAACTGAGATTGTGACCCTTTCTATGTGTTAATTGTCTCACTTTACCTTACCCTATTAACAGTGAGCTTTGTTGAAATTCAGGTGGGCATCTGACAATGCTTTCACAGGCAAAATACCTGACTTTATTGGCAATAACTGGACAAAGCTTACATCATTGTAAGTTGTTGAAAATCTTCAAAAAATTTCTCTCTGAATCAGCCTCAAGATTCAGGAAAGGATAGCTTTGTCTAGATTTTTCATCAGTTTGACTAGTCTGTTAATTTTTGTACAGGAGACTTGAAGGGAACTCTTTTGAAGGACCAATACCATCCAGTTTTGCAAATTTAACCTCATTGACATCGTTGTAAGTAGATATCTTGTTTTTCCAGATACTCCCCCACTCGGCAGGATTCTCTCCCTTTGTCTGCAAATTCATGCTTGATACATGTATGTATATATGGACTTGTTTTTGATGCATGTATATCATGTAGGCGAATTGGCGGTATATACAACGGGAGCTCTTCTCTTGATTTCATAAGAAATCTAAAGAACTTGACTGACTTGTGAGTTAAGCATACTCTTTACTTCCTGTAATCATCTGCTTTTCTTTTTCTGAAAAAGAAAATGAATGTTTTTATCTAAATTTATTGACCAACAGACTTACTAGATTTTTTTTGTTTCTTTTTATTTCCTGTAGAGTTCTAAGAAATGTCTTACTCACTGGTGTTATACCATCTTATATCACAGAATTACAATCTTTACAAAAGCTGTAAGTTTTATTTGCAAATTGATTGCTTCAGTAATTTATGATATTTGCTTCGGCATTATGTTTTTAATTTCTTTTCTCTTCCAGGGATTTGAGTTTCAACAACTTAACAGGCCAAATTCCAAGTGCTTTGTTCAATATGAATTCCCTTGAATACTTGTAAGCAACAAAAGGAAAACCATCCCTTCAATAGTTGAAAATCTCAGCGTATGTCAGTTTTAACTTGTACTTTTGGGTCTGGCATTATGCTTTTCACTTGACATTATTCTCTTCTTTCATGCTATTGAAATGGCCAGGTTTCTTGGAAACAACAGTCTGTCAGGTAACATTCCTAGCCAAAAGAGTGAAACTCTTCGGACTATGTAAGTCATTCTATCAAACCAACTTATGTCATTGCATCAGTTTGGCATTATTATGAGATGTTTTCAAATTTCATATGATGCAAAAATTTGACTTCCAACCAGCATCTTCTATCTAGTGAACCATCAAATAGTAAAAGCAGTTAAATCTTCCTGATTCTGGTAATCTGTTCATCCTACTCACTTTTCTGCTAATGAACTTCTTAATGCAGAGATTTATCATACAATTTGCTATCAGGAAACTTGCCCTCTTGGGTAGACTCAGGCTTAGAACTGTATGTATCTTAAACCATGATACTACCTTACCTTTGTTTTCTAATTTTAACACTGCTTGGAAGCTTAAGGCTTTTTTGGTGCTCAAATGGAGCTTACTTTCCTAGAGCCGCCATCATACTGTAGAAGGAATCAATTGCAATTTGCAAATCAATGCCAATATTTAAGAGTGTACTCTGTTTACACATTGTCTGAAGAAATTCAAGGCATATGATTAAAGACCTTGATAAGAGATTATTTCATGACATTTTGTGTAGGAATTTTGTGGCCAACAACTTCACGCTTGATAGCTCAAACACAAGGTAAGTTGTCGTCACGTAGCACCCTTTTTTACCCCTCTCCTATATATTTTCCCCATGAGCAAAAGTGTGAAACTTTCTGGATATCTATGAAACCAAATGCTTGCTATTATCTCTGCTATATGACGCACTCTTTTAGTTCCTAATCCAGAAATTGTTTTGAAATTTCACAGGCTTTTACCAGGATTAGAATGCCTTCAAAGAAGCTTCCCATGCAATAGAAATCCTCCACGATGTAAACCTAGCTGAAACTTTGGAACCAGCATCTGTTATTGAGGTTTTAATTATATATAGATTAATCATCACAAATGCTTAGTACTTTGCTAACATATTTCAATGTTGGCATTGGCAGACGCAAACTTCTCAATCAAGTGTGGTGGTCCACAGATGATTTCTGATGGGATAGTATTCGAGGCTGAGAATGGAAACGTTGGCGCAGCAACATTTAATGTAACCAGTACACAGAAATGGGCAGTTAGCAATGTAGGGTTGTTTGCAGACAGACAAAGTCAACAGTATGAGCAAAACACCTTGGTACAAGTGAGAAGTACCAACACTCCGGAGCTGTATCAGACTTCAAGGCTATCCCCTGGATCACTCAGATACTATGGCCTAGGCCTTCAGAATGGGCCTTATAATGTAATCTTGTATTTTGCAGAAACAGGTTTCCCAAACCGAAGCACACAGTCTTGGGAGAGTCTAGCAAGGCGTGTTTTCGATGTTTATATTCAGGTACTATTTCGTTTAAAGTAGAAACTCATAGCATTCTCAACTGTAGATCATAAAATTCATGCCCTCTATTTGCAGTGTTTCTATGATCACAATTTGGTCCAATTAATTTTACATTTAGAAATCTTAATGCTATAATATCTCATCAATGCTTCATCAGGGAACCTGCCAATTAAGGGATTTTGATATATCAAAGGAGGCTGGTGGTGTTGAGAGAGCAATAATTAGGAATTTCACTGCCAACGTAATAGAAAACTATCTTGAAATTCACTTGTTTTGGGCTGGTAAGGGGACCTGCTGTACACCAGAACAAGGTTATTATGGTCCATCCATTTCAGCTATTAGTGTTGTTCCTGGTAAGACACCTTAACACATGAATCTTTATGTAATATATTCTTCATGTGCTTGTCTTCTGTTTCTAATACCTCTATTTTGTTGCTCAGATTTCATACCGACTGTCAGTGGGATACCGCCAGGCAATCATAAAGAGAACAACCGGACAGCATTGATTGTTGGTATTGCAGTTCCTGTTGCCTTCGTGGCTTTGATACTTATATTTGCAATAATTTATGTTAAGAGAAGAAAAGAAGATGATGATGAGGAAGGTAAGGATATCTGTGTATTACAAAATATATGGTAATAGTAGTCATAGTATGTCAGAACAAGGGCATCTTCATATAGAACAATGAATCATCTCATTCAAGATCTGGAAGGAAATTTGAGGAAGAGTCACCTTTTCATTTTTCCGTTTGGTGGGAAGTAGTGGATGCTGTGTATAGTAATCCTCTACACTCCCTTGATGGTAATGGGGAATGGGTTGTTTATTACAATAGACAAACATGTTTTTCAAAGGCCTTGAGTGCACAGGCACAGACTTGCCATGGACAGAAAGATGATCCAAGCACATTGACAGAAAGTAGTACCATGTCAAGTGTCAATAAGAAAATCGGATAGACACAAGGCGTTCTTCACTTGGAAAATTAGCTTCAATAATTTGAATTTTAGTCTTCTTGGTTTGGAAATTTTGTTAACATTACATATCTAGAGCCCTGTAGCTGTAGTCAAGGTCCAAGCAGCTGTTCTCACCTTTAGATCTCTGTTCGATATCATTCTTCTGGATTAATTTATCCCAAAATATTTAAGAACAGAGAAAAGTCTTCTGTCTTTAAAATTGGGATGCTTCCCCTGCAATAGCAAGATTCATAAGTCATTCAAAGTTATATCTAATTATCGCAACTGGTAACGTTAGAGAAGTTTTTTGCATTTCATGTCATCCCTCCAACTTAAAGCCTACTAATTGCTTTACTTGACTCTGCAGTGCTTCTTGGTATTGGCTCTAGACCAAACAAATTTAGTTACTCTGAGTTGAAAGCTGCCACAGATGACTTCAGTCCTTCAAAGAAGTTAGGAGAAGGGGGGTTTGGACCTGTATACAAGGTAAACCATTTTAGCTTGTAACAATGGTAACAGCTCGACCTGTAATGATGAAAATTACCAGGAAAGGATGACTTATTACAATGTTACTAAATTATAGTTCTACGTCTTAGGGTACACTTTCTGATGGGAGAGTTGTAGCTGTGAAGCAACTTTCAGTAGCATCACACCAAGGGAAGAATCAATTTGTTACTGAGATAGCTACCATATCAGCAGTGCAACATCGTAATCTTGTCAAACTATACGGTTGCTGCATTGAAGGAAACAGGCGCCTCCTTGTTTACGAGTATCTCGAGAACAAAAGCCTTGATCAGGCACTCTTTGGTATGAGAACAGTCTTTAAAGAAAAAAAAATAAGTGATAATGGATTTGAATGGAATAATAAAGATCTGCTAGTTTTATTTTCTGTTGTTCAGTCTTTGACAAGAAAATGTAATACATGTGCAGTCCAATTTATTTCTTTGTTGATTAATGAACAACTTTATGAGATTTCTTACACCATAAATGTAGGACATAATGCCTTGCATCTTGATTGGCCAACCCGCTTCAATATCTGCTTGTCAACTGCAAGAGGGCTAGCTTATCTTCACGAGGAGTCTAGGCCAAGGATCGTCCATAGAGATGTAAAGGCCAGCAATATTTTGCTCGATGCTGAGCTGTGCCCGAAAATATCTGATTTTGGATTGGCAAAGCTTTATGATGACAAGAAAACACACATCAGCACTGGGGTTGCAGGAACCATGTAAGCCCTTCTGACCTTTGTTGATGAGTCCTCCCTAATAGCATGTCATTTCTGTATCCGAATAGCTAGATTAAGGAGTTTTCTTAGCAAACATTATTCACCAATGTAATTTAGTTATCTTGAAGTGGCTATCTGGCACCGGAGTATGCAATGCGTGGGCATCTCACTGAGAAAGCTGATGTTTTTGGCTTTGGTGTTGCTGCATTGGAGATTCTCAGTGGTAGATCAAACTCTGACAATTCCTTAGAAAATGATAAAATTTATCTTCTTGAATGGGTAATGAAAGTAAACCTTTCTCTTTTTGTAGTACGATTTGTTCAGTACCTGTTAAAATTTGAAGGACTTGCTTATGATTATTTATTTCTACAATGTTGTCTCCAGGCATGGAACCTGCATGAAAATAACCAAAGCTTGAGTCTGCTGGATCAAACTTTAGAGGAGTTCGATGAAAATGAAGCTCTCCGAGTGATAGGAGTGGCACTTTTATGCACTCAAGCATCACCAATAATGCGGCCGTCGATGTCTCGTGTTGTGGCTATGCTTGCTGGAGATATTGCAGTGAGCAGTGTTACAACAAAACCAAGTTATTTAACTGACTGGGATTTTAAAGACATAACAGGCACCTTTATGAGTGAAGAAACACAAACATCCATTGAATCCGATAGCAGCGACATCAAGAGTAAGAAAAAGACTATATCTGGGGTGGAGCAACCAATGCTCTCTCCAGTAAATGTTACTGAATTCAGTGAGAGTATCGGAGAAGGAAGGTGAGAGTTGTTTGTTCCATGCTGCTAAAACCATGTCACATTGTCTTAATTGGGTAATCTTGTAATACACGTTGGCAATATTTTAAAATTCAGACCACACAGACTTCGTATGGGAACCTTGTAAAATACTTGGGGTTATTTTGCGAATATTGTTTTTTAGTTGGAATTTGCTATGAAGTTCAGTTCAGTCATCATCAGGAATATTTGCTAGCTCGGACCAATCTCTTCCTGGTATACTTGGCCGCAAAAGTAAACAGATCGAGATCAAAAAATTATGTCAAGAACGTAAAACCCAACCCTGGTTTATTTTTATGGGTGCAAAACCTGCATTTAAAAAAGTTGGTTGGCAGGATGGGAAAATAGTATTAACCCATTTTCCTTTCCACTATAAGGGAAGGGCAAGTAAGCAATAGGTGGATAGAAAATAACAAAATGTCTAACTAAAAGACAAACATCAAAAGGAATTCAGAACATGCTGCCAGCCAAACCAATAAAGATTTTGGAAGGAAAAAACTAGAAAATTTATCCCACTTGATTGTCGTTGACGGGGTAAAAGTCAAATCGAAAACTTTCACCATGTTATTTTTAGAGTGTAGAGAACAAGCAGAGGTTGTAGAAATATAACCATAACAAAAGCCGGCTAACGGATACAAATGAGGAGATAATGTTTAATGTTGTGGCTAACTCCTGGAATTTGCTCAATCTGTCCATTCCAGTATTGTTTTTCCTCATCATTTTGCTATAAAATCATATTTGTTTCTGAACCACCAATACAGTGAGCTTTTATATTTAATCAAATTTTTCGCAGGATGTTTGTCGCACAATAGTAGCCTTATCACCGAAACCAGAAATTTCATTTTAGAAAGAATCTTCTCGGAAAAATTTGTCCCAACATTTGATTTAATGTATTGCTAGTTCTAGATTAAAGATTTATTAGAGAAGAACCTTCGCTAATCAACTAGTGGAGGAGGAATAATTATACTGGCGTAACATCCTAGGAGAATCAGAATGTGGAATAGAATGATTAGGCTGACAAAGGCCCACTCATAAGCCGAGCCAACTCATCATTACCACTGGAAATGCCCGAAACCTACATTGGATTGGATCTCTGCTCAGCCCCACCACAAAAAGTAACCGTTGGATGCTGCAGTCTCCTTCCTAGGTTGTTCAGAGTTATAAGCAGATATGTCATCACCAGGTGAAATTATCCACGCAGTCCAAAGGAACATCGTATTTGGAATTTTGTGGATTTGAGGAAGACAATTATATTTGATGAGTTTGAGCCCAAGAATGGAAATCTATACTCCTATGGAAACGAGGAACAGGAGTACGGTTATAGGGACGATGATGAATATGAAGAATTTTGATGCTAAAGTTTTTTTGTCCTTAAGTTTCGAGCATACTGTAAGCACAAAATCATACGGTCAAATTTTGCATTGTCAGCTGCAATGGTTTTGCACCTTGTGAAAATTCACCGGGCAAATTTTTGCTTAAAATAATGGAGCAATTTTGAGAGAAGGGGTCTATTTAGTTATACATTTTTTTTTGTATTTTAATCAAAATGGCTAACTGGAAGATTTATTTTTTCTTTCTTTGGATTAAAATAATTAAATTTAAGTTTTACGAATTTAATTTTAATTCAAAAGTTTTAAAAAATGAAACACTTGAAAGTAGTTTAATTGGATTTGTGAATATGTAAATAGATCTTTACTCTTGCAAAGATAATTTTTTATTAATGTAGGGAAATGATATGAATGCATATTTATGTGTGTTTTTATGCAATGTTAAATGGAGGATATATCCCTATATACTGCAGGACCGAGGGACCCCTGCTTCGGCACGAGCCAATAGGCCAAGCACCGTGGCTCGTGTGAACGCATATGCTAACATTTGTAACTGTCTAATGCCCAAGGTGCGTAAGCATGATGTGCTGTGACAATCCAATGATAAAAGTATCTACTTGAACCTGGGGATCCTAGCCAGTCGTCACTGTGTGGCCATTAATGAGCTTAGAAAAGTATATTTTGTTGAAAGTTCACGCTAAAATACGCGCTATTTCTGATGATGAGATTTCCAATGAAACGATGGAAATTAAAATATATATTATGATTGCAGTTTTATTACATCTATTTGAAGTGGTGGTCCAGAAAACTTTGAATGTGATGATGTATTTAGTTTTTGCTGTAATGTATAGAAATGGAATCAGCCTTCGTATCCTGGGATTGAATCAAAGCAAGCCAACCTGGTCAACCTGAAGCAGCGGTTTTATCTTTGAGGCTAGATAAAAGAACCATGATCGCACGATCCAGATGTGACGTTTCCTTGTCTGCCCCTACATGAATGTCGGTTTAGCTATAAAGCCAAACGTACAAACAACCATTGGTATCTTCATCAAGCTGGTGTCCAAGACTAGGCGGTGGCAGCTGAAAAAACAAGCAGCCCGGGGCCATTGCATGCGCCATATTTGCCAGGAAGTCCGCAATCTGTTGCCCCCTCAGAGTTTGTGCTTTAAGCTGAACGGCTGTAGCACCGCACTCCGCCAAGTCGCTTGTATTCATTCAGTGGGATGGGTAAGGGATGCAAAAAAAAAAATCAAAATCATCTCCAATAACAAGATATTTAGTTATCCTTTAGGTCCTATACAAAAGAAAATGTAGTACTGCTCAACGCTGAATATGTTAAAATAAACAAAAGAAATTATTTAACGTACTTTTAGTGAAATTTTTTAATTTTACAATTAATTATAATACAGTGACATATATTTATTTTTTATTAATTTTTAATTATTTTAAATATACTCTAAAAAATATGTATCATCTTATTAATATTTTTTATGAAGTTAAAAATTATAATAATAGTATATTTGATAATTTCTCAAAAAATAAAGTGCTAACGGAGTTAAGTTTTAAGTTTTAACATTTTTCACGGATACG